CTGGGCTTGCTCACAGGCTGGCGGACTGCCAGCAGCTGGCTGATCTCAGGTGCCCTCACCCTTACCTCTGGTGGTTCACTCCATGTGGTCTCTCACCATCCAGGAGCCTAGCCCAGGTTCATTCGCATGGTGGTAAGGAGAGCGTTCCCAAGAGGAGCATGAGAGGACAAGCTCCAATATATGACCAACTTTCAAGTCTTTGGTTGTGCCATGTTTACTAATTGTTCAATGGACCAAAATAAATCCCATGGCCAAACTCTGAGTCACTGAGACAGAGGACTACCCAAGGGTGTAGACACAAGGGGAGAGATTATTGTGACCATTTCTGAAAACAACCCATCAGATTGAGGCTGTTTAAAATGGTCACAAGTTATTTGACACTCTTCCCATTGAGAGGTGGAATCTTCATGCCCCATCCCCAACTCTGGGCAAGCTTGTGCTGACTTTGACTTCATGGAGTTCTGCAGAAGTGACACTGTCTGATCTCCCAGGCTACTGCAGGCTTCCTCTTGGTTCTCTATCAGGATGGTTTCCTGTTGGAACACTCTCCTTCAGGACCTAGCCATCTGTGAGAAGCCCAAACCACATGAGGCCACATATAGGTGGCTCTAGTCAACAGTTCCAACTCAGCACACACTTTGAATCATCCTAGCCCAGGAGCCTGACATGTGACATACGATAAAGCTTCCAGAAGATTCCAGCATTCACTCATGCAAGTCATTCCCAATCATTTGTCTTCCCTGCTGAAGCCCCATGTATCATGGAGACAAGCCAACCCTACTGTGCCCCATCTGAATTCTTGACCCACAGCATCCAACAGCATAAAAGAGGGCCACTGTTTTACTCTACTAAGTTTGGAGTGGTTTACTGGGCTGTATTAATAGGTAGACTAATTTCAACACTTGCTTTCCTTCATAATTCACAAGATATTATTTCTTTCAAGCTGAAAAGAGAAGGCAGTGACAGATGAAGTTTGAATACCAATAATTCTGCTGCCTTTCTGGGATTTAGAAAAAGCATTTAAAAATGATTAGCATAGAATATTCGACATATAAAATAAATAAGTCATGAGGATGTACCGTACAGCATATCAACTATAGTTAATAATACTCTGCTGCATGTTTGAAAGTTGCTAAGAGAGCAGACCTTAAAAGTCTCATCACAAGAAAAAAAAAGTTTTTGTAACTATGTATGGTGATGGATGGTAACTAGACTTATTGTGGTGATCATCTTGCAATGTATACAGATATGAAATCATGATGTGGTACACCTGAAACTAACATAATGTTGTACATCAATTACAGCTCAATAAAAAATTGTTTTAAATACTCAGATAAAATTATCCAATAAAGCAGGAGTTTTATTTCTCAATAAAGTTTTCTATGTCACAGTTATGTCACTTATTATTCATTGTGTACTTGTGTAGTTATTAATTAATTCAAGAAATATATTTCAGGTGTCAGACTGTTTTTGTTGCTGTCATTCAGCAATGAGCCACACAAACTAAGTCTCTGTCCTTATAGGACATATATTTGGCGAGGGGCTGGAGACCATAAGCCGTAAGTATATAATAATGAAAAAAAAAAGCAAACATTTATTCAATGTTTACTGGGTGCCAGGCACCATTCCACGCACTTTAGATGTTAACAAATAATTTACACCTTTTCATAACCCTATAAGATCAGTAATATTATTATCCTATTTCAAAGATGAAGAAATGGAGGCACAGAAAAATGAGTCACTTGCTGTCTTGTTTAGACATTAAAAACCACATGAGAAGAGTTGCATAAGTAACATCATAGGTTTGCTCCAAATAATGGAGCAGGGAAAGGGAGGACCTGCCTATATATAACCAATTCTATCCTCACCTCAGCATTTACTGAGCACCTACGGTGTATCAGGTATGACAGGAGGCTCTTGATACCCTACCGTGAACAGGAAAGCCATACCTCCTGCTTTAACCTGGAAGGACAGGTATATATGCCACCTGAAATCGTAAGGCTTTTTCACAGCATATCTGCCTCTGTGCTGTTCTCCTTTTAGGAGATAAAATCCCCAGAGACTTGTACCGCATTTTCTCCGCAGTGAAAACTGCCATCAAGTGCCACAGCTGTAAGAAAGTGCCTACGACTACCAATTAAAGCAACAGGTGTCCAAGGTTTCTAGTTCATAACACTAGGCCCCGAATCCTCAAATATAAATGCATACATCTTATGATACTTACAAGCATTAACAAAGTAGCAGCAATATTATCTCACAGAAGCCAAGACCTGCTAGATGTGCTTCCACACTGTATCTTCTGTGCTGAAGCAGCTGTGTCATTTTCTATTTTTGCAACACCCCTGGCCGAATGGTACCAACTCCAGGGATACATGGTTTTCAGGTGAATTCAAGATTTGTTTTCAGGCACACCTCTTTTAGAAAGAGAAAGTTACTGGGCTTTCTCTTAAATTCCCTGGCAACCCAGCTGGCTTGAGTGATCGTGTGTCTTCTTCCAGGTGATCAGTACAACGGACAACAACCTACGCTGTTACTACACGGCTGCTGGAAATCGAGACAAAACACACTTCCCACAAAATGGCATGTCCTTTCTTCCCTTCTAGACTCCAAGAAGCTGACTTTCGGCAGCTTGGAGAGGACAAGAATGGGTTTGCCCATTGCTCTACACCCCGGAAGCCAGCGCACAGCAACTCCCACTGACCACCTATGAGTCAGTCCTGTTCCTACCAGGGTGAAATTTCCTGCTCTTACCGCAAACGTACTCCTTTCCTTCCCAAAGCAAAGGGTACTCTAAAATACAGGGTGTTCCCACTACCACAGATTTCCATATAATTTCATTGTGGGAACAAACGGTAACAAACACCATATGAAATCCATTCATGATGTTATATTAATCTTAACTGGAAAAGAACTGAGTGTTTAATATTTATTCTCCATGGATACTGCAAGAATTAGTTACGGGGCAGGAAGACATTTCTACTTGGAACTTAAACTTCAAAATGTAAAACCTAAGTTATTTTCTAAAATTTACAAGAAAGTAATCCTTAAATATTTTCCTAGAGTCCTCAAAAGCAATTATAATTCAATCATTCCACAATGTTTAGATGCATTACCCTCATTTAAAAAACAGTGTATTAAATTAATAATGAGAACTAATCCGTCTTGTAAAAAGTTAAGTGTTAACGACTTAGGAGTATCTTTCAGAATAAAAGTTAATCCTTCCTTAAAATGGTGGTCTTAAAACTGAGGCCCACCTCTTCCCTCACAATCATGCAGGAAGCTTGGTGGGGTGGTCCTCAGTGCTTCTGGTTATATCACATCCGGTTCGCAGGAGTACTTTTGCTTCCATATTTGACACATAACCTAAGTAGCACTATCCCAGCCAATTTCATTTCGTAGTAAAGCTTTCTCTTCAAACCCTTCTTGAACAATTATATATTTTTACAAATATGGCTGGTCCCAATGCATGGCACACAATGTGGAAACTAAAATGGAATATTAAACTATTTACGAACTACATTAGAGTGGAAACAGGAAGAACCAAAGAGTTCATCCAGTTCAATCCCATTGTTTCAAAGATGAGGAAACTTTAGCCCTAGGTTCCTCTATGAATCGTGTTTTAAAAACTTAAAAAAAAAAAAAAAAATCAGCTGCATACTTTCCTCAAATCACTTAAAACACTGATTTCAAACGGCAGTCCTCTGGTTCTAGAGTTCATCAGCAAAGATCTCAGGGGCCACCTGGGGGCCAAGGGGTTCTGGCTACTCATCTTCTCTTCAGCCAGGTCAGATCTTGTTTTCTCTCTTATTTGGGGTTCAGCATGAAATTTCATTTGAAGAAGGAATTGCACTGCTGTAACAAATCTAATGAGCATTGCTTTGGATACCTGAGCCAATTCATTACTTTTTTTCTAGTGCAAACTTAGATTTTTTTTTTCAATCCCAATAGCACCACTGGGTGGTGAGGAGGCCAGCAGTGATGGGAGGTTCCGTGGTGTGGTCTCAAAAATCACAGGAGAATTCAAGAGGATGACCAGGCCGTGGTTCCAGGAGGAAGTGCACAAACCCTAAGGTGTCATCTTCGATCTTCCAAACAAATCAACTACGAAATCAGCAGAAGCAGAAGCTTCAGGGCGGGCCGCACATACCGTGGGTGCAAAGTACTGTTGACAAAGCCATATTTACAAATACCATCACACCCACTTTAGAGAACTCTGGACTTGGGGCTGTTCAGCAGACTCACCAGACACTGTTCATTTTTTTACCTTTGACAAAAACATTTCATTTCCATAATCACCAATCATGACTTAAGGAGGCTAAGAAATCTGTATTTCTACCTACCAGGTTTACCACATTTCAATGATGTAAATACACAAAGACAAGCAAAATTTCCCACAATAAAATGTGAAGTACAAGTCCACTCATTTTATTGAGCAAATGTTACCCAAAAAGTTACTAAAAAGTTATTAAATTAAAATCAACTATTTATATTTTATTTTTAATCATAAAATAATTTTGTTAAAGAGAATAACCACTAGAGGATCCTTTATTAATGAATTGACTTAAAAACCTATAGAACATAAAATACAGTTGGACTAATTCTTATTTGTTTAGCAAAATTTTAAAGATTTTCAACAGTAAAGACTTTAAGAGATCTTTAAAAAAGATTTAGGAGGGGCGCCTGGATGGCTCAGTTGGTTAAGCGTCCAACTCTTGATTTCAGCTCAGGTCATGATCTCACAGTCATGAGATAGAGCCCTGAGTCGGGCTCTGCGCTCCAGCAAGGAGTCTGCTTGAGATTCGCTCTCCCTCTCCCTCTGCCCCTCCACCAGCTTACATGCATGCTCACACTATAGTCTAACACATAGTCTGAAACGCATTGTCTAAGGAAAAGAAATTATAGTCTTATGTCTATCTCTTAAAGACTCAATTATCCTAAATCTTCTAATATATGTTTTGCTATTCTGAACTTCTTTAAAAGGATTCAAGGAAAATACTCACAGTTACTTATCACTCCTCCCAGTGGATCGCCTTTAAAATCAAATTCAATATCCATATATTTGCCCTGCCAAAGAAAGACTTTGTGAGTTTTCAAGATTACCTCAAAATATTCAGTCAGCATATCTTCTTAGAGAACAGCATGCTAACACTTTACACATTTGTTGAAATGTAATTAACACACAATTTATGTAACCATGAGGCAAAACAATATGCCTCCATAAATAATTTATACTAAATACCACATTAGCTCAAAGCTAACATATCATGTTGCTAATTTAGGAATAGATCTTAGCCAGCATGTGACTTTTTCATTTCAGATACGTGTTTCAAATGTCTCAAGAGTGTGTGTGTATTCAATTCAAGAATAAAAACTGGGAAAAGTAAGTATTCCTTGTATATGCACTAGTTGGGAATATAAATTATTTCATTTTTATAAGCAAAATGTGTTTTAAGTCATGGCTAGAAACTCCAAGTATACTGGACAGTGGATAGAATGGAACACATAAAGTTCTGTTTTTATATCTACTCAAATCAAATGCATGCTTATACATTGTGACCAATCTGGAATCGAAGACTGACCATTATCACTCTCTTTGGCTTTTGATCTAGATTATACAGTAATACATATATCCCAGTTTCCTATTACATTTTATAGATGGTATCTTAAACACACAGAAACACACGTGGAGTTTCATACTGTGATTTTGAAAGAACTGGTCTATAACTGTCTAGTTAAAGAGTAACAAGTGTAACAGAACAACCCTGACAGCTGGTTTTTGTTTGAAAAAGGATGTGTTGGGTCTAATAAGTGGTCTTTGCTTTTGTTTCATGTTCTACTTTAGTAATAATCACATAGATGGCTTGTAAATAAGTCTCCCAAAGAATGACTACTTTAACGCCTTCTATTTTCAAAATAAACATAGGGGGTCAGAAACGTGATTATACGGCACTCAGTCAACAATGTGGTCTGTGACCTTTTATTAGCTTATACATGCTCTCTTGCCTTTCTTTTCTTCATTGTCAAGGCTCACCTGTCCTTTTCAAAAGTATTCTCTTATTCATTAAGCAAATGTCTACCAAGCATTTCTTAGATACTTAAAGTAGGCACAAGGGTAAGCAAGGCATAGTACCTGCCCTCAAGGAACTTCCAGCCTGAAGGGAATTGAGCCAGATAAACAGGACATTACTGTGTATGGAGACAGATCCTACAGTGAGGCAGGGTGCTTGCTATGCACGAAGAGTAGGAGACAAAGGCTGAGGTCCACCCCAGCTCAAATGTGAAGTATCAGGGTTAAGTCAGGCAGCAAGAAGGCGAGAGAGCAGGAAGGAGGGCCATAAGAATAGGTATCTGTGAGGCTGGTGAGGGAAGCTGGCACACCTCATGGCATCAAGACACTTTCCTGACAGCAAAGTCCTGTCATTAAAGATTCTAAACAAGGAAGCCATGATCAGACTTGCCTATTTACAAGATCACCCTAGATAACGTGGGATGGACTGGAAAGGAGCAAAACCAGACACAGCTGACAGGAGGTGGCAGGAGTCATGGGAGAAATGTTGATGGCTTTAAGCAGGAGTGAGCAAAATCGGGCAGAGTAAGCAGAGCTGAGAGCTCCCCAGAGAGTCACCATGACAGATCCCGGTTTGACGTAGGAGGTTAAGAAAGGAGCAGGGCTGTGATTAGAAAGTCCAGGCAAACGAGTAGATAGCTATGCTAAGGAGGGGAGAAAGAGTAACTTCACAGGAGAGTCAGAGGTTGACCATATAAGAGGAGGTGATTTTGATGGAAGGTGCTTCCTGGACAGAGGAAGTCACCAGATCCAGAGCACAGGTGGAGGGATTAGCAAAAGATGGGAGTTGAGACTCTCCCAGTGTGACAGAAGGGTGTCTCTACAGATTCAGGGACAGGTGAGGCCCCAAAGCTGAGGACGTGGATGAGGAGGAGGAGCAAGGTGCTGATGACAATGATTTCCACGAAGTAAGCCTCCTGTCATCAGTTGAGAGTAAAGGATAGGGGCTCTGCCGACAGTACGATAAACCCCGTACAGAGTGGGAAAGGAAGCTGACCAGGGATAAACGAAAGGACAGCACTGAGAATTCAGATGATCTTGGAATGGTATTCTTCCCATGAGCTTGTCATGAGTCTTCTCAGAGAAGACCAATGCCTTCCCACTGCCTAGAAAATAAAGCCCAAGACCCTGAACCTGATACTCGAAGCCCTCCAGGGGAGGCCCCGACCCATCTCTCCAGGCCTTTGGCCCATGGCTCCCTTCACAGATCCTCTTGTCCCACCACTGACATGGACCAGGGCAGGTCCATTCTGGTCTCTCTCCTCGGCTTCCCCATACCAGCTCTCCTGGCTTTCTACTCGATTTTGGCACATTTCAATCTTACAGGCCCACTCAGAATTGCCCCCTGCCCCAGACTCCTCCAGCTTCTCTATTCGGAATTTCCATAAAGCTATTTTTGGAACTTACTCATGGGGAACTTACTATTTTATGTGTTGTGTTATAATTACTTTTAGACATGTCCATTTTTTTCTGACTCGTCTATAAAAAATTTTCTGACTCGTCTTAAAAATATTCATTCGTCAATGTTTTCTGAGTATCTACTATGACACCAGGCACCGTTCTATGACACAAGAAGGCCGAGCTCCTTGCTCCCATGGCTCCTCCTCTCTAAGGTCCACGATCAGAGAGAAACAGAGAAAGTGAATGTAATCTTTCCAGAGTTTAACGAGTGCCTGAAAAAATTAAAAGCACGATGAAATCAGAGTCTAGAAGAGGCATCATAGAAGTAACACTTGAGGTGAGACCTAAATGATGCAAGACAGTGGCCATGCAGCGATCTGGACGCAGAGCACATCATGCAGGAGGACCAGCAACTGCAAAGATCTAAGGCAAGAAGGCGCTCAGTGCTCCTGTCACAAAGGCCTGTGCTGCCAAGGCGGGGCATGCAAGGGTGGGGAGGGGCGTGCAGGGGCGGGGCGGGGCGTGCAAGGGCGGGGCGGGGCTGCAGGGGCGGGGCGGGGCGTGCAAGGGCGGAGCGGGGCGTGCAAGGGCAGGGCGGGGCGTGCAAGGGCGGGGCGGGGCAGAGCCGGCCACCGCTCAGGCAGGCCGGCGTGGGAAGCTCTGGGAGGAGCCTGTACTGCACTCCAGGTGCAAGGAGGAGCCACCGAGGGCTTTCAGAAGAGCAGCAGTGAGACAGGTTTGTAAAGATCACTCTGGATGCCAGTAGGGAAAGGTCTGTAGGCTGCAAGAGGAGATGCAGGGAGACCCATGCGTAATTAACTTTTCAAAAAACAAAAACAAAAACCAGAGGTTTCAAACAAATGAATACATTGTACGGGTTTTTTTTTATTCTTACTGAATGAAAGGTTTGGTAACGGAATTTTCCGGACCCTATGCCTTCTCTCCTAGCTTGGCTCTCTGCAGATGGTAGACGCTCCACTATTACTCCTCTTCCCTCCCCTGAATCCCTTGGTCGAGAATAGTGACTTCCAAAGCCTTAAATGTCTCTTTTCAAAAACAGTGGGGTCACTTCCTTAATAGAAGTTCAATATGTGGGGCGCCTGGGTGGCTCAGTTGGTTAAGCGACTGCCTTCGGCTCAGGTCATGATCCTGGAGTCCCTGGATCGAGTCCCGCATCGGGCTCCCTGCTCGGCAGGGAGCCTGCTTCTGCCTCTGACCCTCCCCCCTCTCATGTGCTCTCTCTCTCTCATTCTCTCTGTCTCAAATAAATAAATAAAATCTTTAAAAAAAAAAAGAAGTTCAATATGTCAAACTAGAGGTACTTGGGGGGTAGAGAGCAACGTGAGGTACCTCCCTGAGAACACTCGTCTGATATGTCAGTGGCAATGAGCATGCGTAACTACACCACCACACCACCGTCTACCACACTGCTCAGTGAAGAGATCAAGAAGTTCATCAAACACAAAGGAAATGCAATTTCCCCAGAGTACAAATGTTTAATACATAAACCACTGTTCTATACAGTAGTGACTGTAAATATAGTAGAGTCCTGTCAAATTATAACGTGGATTTGAGTATATTACTGATCAAGTCACAGACCACCAAGCAGAGAAATTAGTAAAAACTGGGTATGAAATGATTTAGTCTATAATCAAGTATTAATCTTGTATCCTAACACCCATGTTATAATAGGATTTCAAGTTACTTATTAAGCCAAATCACCTGCCAGGTCTTTCACTAGATTTCAAACATCACAAAGTAGTAATGACTCTTTAGGCAATATGGTTTTCTGCATTTTTGTAGTCTATAGACTAAATAATTTAGACATTTTTAAAAAGTGTATGTGTACATTTCCAACAAGCAAAAAAAAAAAAGTCTTCACAAAGGAGTTTGATCTCTTAGAATTACTTCTATCTGCCCACACCTTGCTTCTAAGTCTATTTATATAATGAGATTAGCCATGTTACAACAGGCATGGCTCAAATCAGCTATAACCACGTAAAGGGCTAATCCAATGGAAAAAATGTACAGTCCTGGAATTAGGAACCTCAGCCCTCCACTTTCCAAGCTACTAAAACTACCTCTACCTGAGGTCACTGTCTTGCCTTGAGCACTGGATAACTCTAACGAGAAAAAAGCAAAAAGGGAGACTAAAAGAGGTGATGGGGAGAAAGGGCAGGAAGGGTCCCTGGCAGAGAAGCATAAAAATCACCCAAAATGGTCCCAAGTAATGTATATAAGAAGAGCTTATAAAGTAAATGACCTTTTATTATAAAATTTATAAGATAGGTTAAACTGTAGAAAAAAGGGGCCAATTTCAAAGTATCACCATCACACTCAACGCACTTCCCCCAACCGCCATCAGGCCATGTCTGTGTCTCCATAAAGACCAAAGCAGGACAGCGCGTGCTCAGCAGGAGAGACCCCAGCGGGCTGCTGAGGGCAGTACATGCTGCGGAGAGCCGGGAGAGGAGACCACGAAGGTGTGTCTTCCCGCACTCAGCATTTTCCAACTCAACCAAACTCGAAACATCAATCAGCTGCAGTTTTTACCTCTGTAAAGTTTCAGTGTACCCTTCCATCCTTCCTTGTCCCACTGAATAAAGGACAAAAGCTGTAGAGTACAAAAACTTGACACCCGGTTTCTCCTTCCTTCTACTTAATCTGATTCTTAATTGTGATTTCTAAATGCCAAAACTCAGGTAAGTAAAGAGTTCTTCTAAAGAGCCTCCTTTCAATTGCCCATGGAATTCCCATGATAGATGACAAGAAACTATGAAAGTCTGGCTGTCACTCCAAAAAGAATTAAAAAGAAAAATCCCAGAAAGCAAAAAGTAGTCCTTAGAGAACTTTCTGTGTCTCAACAGCAGGGGTGTTCTTATTTTTCAAATGTGTATATTAAGAAATACTAAACATCTACTGGTTGTTTAAACATACATGAGCTAAATATTAGTGTTAACACTTATGCTTATACAAATACTTACAAATCTAGAGGAGTTGTCATTCCTTACAGTCTTGGCATTTCCAAAAGCTAGTAAGAAAGAAACAGATGCATGGGTAAAATTGACAGAAAAATAATTTCAAGCAGAAATTTAAAGCAAATGGAATATTTGATAGCTATAAATCTTAGAAAATACAACTTGCAGCAATGACATTTCTGTCCAAGCTTCCCATAGAAACATAACACAAGTCTTAAGAAAGCTTCCACATCTTATGACAAGTTCATAGAAAAGGAGACTCATTCCTATGATTCATGGAATTTTTTCAAATATTACTATAAATGGAATCTTGTCTAATTAAATAACCTTTTACTGTTTTAAAAGTAGTCAGTTGAGTGGATAGCAAGCAAGGCTTGTATTCTCCACCATTACCATCAGTGTAAATAAGATTATTTCAGAGATGACTGACTACTTAGTATTATCAAAGGCTTCATGGAACTTGATGAGGTTTCCAGATGGAAAAGGCACAAGAAACTTTAAATTATTTAATTAATTTAAAAATAAAGCTACTGAAATGTGATTACATATGTAACTGTGAAATACAGAAAGAGTAAGAGATTTGGAAACTAACATCATCTCCAATAGGCTAAAAATACTACATAGTTTCTTTAGTTCATACCCATCGGACCTAAGTGAAACTTTCCAGAAAAGAAAGAAAACCAAATGGGCCCATAATGCAGAATCCAAGTTTATTCCAAACTTAGCTGCTGTGAGGAGCCCAGTCTCCCACAGGAGTCCCTTTTAAGAAAATAAGGGCACCTAAGAACCACAGGTTGATGCCACCCCAGGCACAGAATGCTCCCGTTCAATATAGGTAGTTCATGGCGTCATAAAGAAAAAGGTCTGTTTCACCAAGCTTGTGCACAAAGTAGGGGCAAATTAATCTGGGCCACAGTAGCAGAGAATTAAGCTGAATAAATATAAGGCATATAAGCAGAAGGATCCCCGTTTGATTGCTTTGGAAGAAGCCCAGCAGTGTACCTCTAACCGCAACATGCAAACCAGTCACCTAAGGATCTTGTTCAATGGGTCTGGGATGGTCATGAAATTCTGCATTTCTCCCAATACTCCCCAACCCACCCGCCGCTGTTACTAGGATCCCTGGGCCCGCTGCAGCTAACAGGGACAGAAGACTACTCGGTAATGTGGCAACCAGAAAAATGAATCTTGAGATTAAGAAGCCAGGCATCAAACCTCTGGAAGCCTCCATAGCTTCATTAAACAGAGGGAAGATTAGAGTAACAGGAGTTCAAATGGTTACCAAGGGCTAAAAGCTGATCCAAGTTTTGAGAGCAGTCGCGTGATCAAGGTGCGACCGTGGGTTTCTGTTGAAGTTCACTTGGATATTCAGTAGCCAAACCCGATGCGTTATATTTCACGTTTGCTGGCTTTTTTTGTGTTTTTGATTTTTTAAAAATAGTTGGTTCCGGCTCAGTTCAGTAGAAATTTACAAAGTCAACACAGGGAAAGTTCTTCGTATCAGCGATTAAGGTTGGGAGGGGTATAGTTTGGTAGGTCCCTGATGCCAAATTCTCTCCTTTTTTTTTTTTTTTTTTTTAAGATTTTATTTATTTATTTGAGACAGAGAGAATGAGAGAGAGAGAGCACATGAGAGGGGGGAGGGTCAGAGGGAGAAGCAGGCTCCCTGCCGAGCAGGGAGCCCGATGCGGGACTCGATCCAGGGACTCCAGGATCATGACCTGAGCCGAAAGCAGTCGCTTAACCAACTGAGCCACCCAGGCGCCCCAACCAAATTCTCTCCTTAATAGAAAATCAGCTGAGAGGCTCTACTGAGTGGGGAAACCTGCACACAGGAAATACTCAAAAGGATGCTTACTGAAGAGGCTCACATCATTATCCATGTCCACCACCAGCTAAGAGGCTTTAATAAATGCAACCCTGAAAAGGCTGAGTGTTGCCCCAGTGGTCATGAAGACCACGACATTTCTCGTGTTTTAACAGGCTAGTCTTCCCGGTGGGTGTGAATATGTAGGGGGGCCAAGTTAACTAACTTGCATAGCCCCAAAGTCCAGCTTGAGATGCTGATGCATAAAGGACAGTTTATTGTGGCTTGAAGGTCAAGGGCAAGTGAAGGAATTGCTTCAAAAAAACTTTATTCAAGGGGCCATTTGCACGCCATAAACCATCTTTTCATCAAACAAATCTTGAGTTGCACACACAGCTCTAAACACTAAAGTCTTTTATTGTGAGCCACAGAATCAAAAACAAGTGTTTCATTATAGAACACTTGAGACACATTCCTCAATTGTTTTTTTAAGTTCATTGTTCTAAATGTTCATTTACAGTAGCAGTTCCAGCTAAAAAGTAAAGCATTCCCATAAAAGATAATACATGCCCACAGCAGACATTTCTTCCATTTCCTGCACTGGGGCCTAGTTCTAAATACCATCAAATAAAGGGCCAGATTCTCATCACAGATGCAAGCTGTAGCATTCCACAGTGCTTCTCCTTTAGATCACAGCGTTCTTAAAATAAGCATATACAGAAATACACGTACAGCACCCTAACTTAAAGGCAAAAGGGAAAGTAAACAAAAAGTCAAATACTGGAACAATAAAATGAAGATACAGCACTTTCCGTAATAGCGTCTTTATTCGTTAAGGTACCGAAGGGAACGAAAGATTGGTATAACAACAGAATAGGTGTTTCAGGTTTTGCTTTTCACAACTTAAAGTATTTTCACTAGTCTTATCTCACTATCTGGGGGATGAAGAGGCGGAAGGAGGGGCTAGGTCTAGGTAACAAAGAAAATAGGCAGGGCTCTGTCCCTCCACACTGGGGGGCATCTTACTCACCCCAAAGCAGTTCTGCTTTAATCCATGCTAAATCTTGACCCTCCATGACTGTGAACAAAGAGTTAAACCAAACTACTCTTCTAGACCAAAGACTCTGATCAGGGCTGGTTCTGACCCTTGACATTTGGCAGTGTCCAGTGACATTTTCAGAGCTAACAACTAGGGCCAGGCGTGCCTCTGGAACCTAGTGGGTAGAGGCCTGGGATGCAGCTAAACATCTTACAATGAATGCACAGGACAGCACTCCATAGCAGAGATTTATGCAGTCCAAAATGAGGTTGAGAAACCCTACTCTATCCCAACAACTATATGAGTGACAATAAAGACAGGCTTACAATATAAAGCAAAAATCAAGGACTTGCCATCAATAGGGAAAGACTGATTTACTGTTTCCAAAGCAAACAATGGTTTATGCCTTTGGTTTATGCCAACCTCCATGGCTTTAGGGGGACTCACCTCTGGCTTTTTCTGATGGTAGTATGGACTCCATGTATGTGTCCCCCACCAATTTTTATGTTGAAGTCCTAACCCCAATGTGATTGTGTTTAGAGTTGGGGTCTTTGGGAAGTAATTAGGGTTCTACGAGGTCATGAGCCAACCAGGGTTCCTGCCCCCAGCCACCACACACAAAGGAGAGATCATGTGATCCCACAGCAAGATGGTGGCTACCAGCAAGCCAAGAGGCCTACCTTGCCAGCACCTTCATCTAGACTCCTGAGCCTCTAGAAGTGTAAGAAAACAAATATCTGTGGTTTAAGCCACCCGGCCTATGGTATTTTGTTAGAGCAGCCTGAGCTAACTAACACAGATGGCCAACCATAGAATCTGAACTCCAGAGACAGGTTTAGGCTTTCTGTGATCCTGAAAAAAACTGTCCTTTAGATGTTTCTCTGGCACGGCCTTTCTGACAACAGAAATAAGCAGCCACAGGTGTTATCCCAAATGATAAAATAGCACTGCACTCATGCGGCGCTTTTTCACCAAGGTCTTCCTAGCCATCAAGTCAAATGCAAATATCAGGTGATTATTTTTAGGCAAAATTGAAGTAATTCAAATAAAAATTGAAAGGGAAAAAAAATGAATGTAAGTGGGAAAGCTCCTTTTGGATGAGTAAACTGTTTCCTCCTTTAAGCACCTGAAGCCAAGAGTTCTTAGGACACAGCTCATTTGCCCTGCAGGTCCGGGCCTGAACCTTCCTCTTTCCCTGCCTCCCCCCAGCTCCACTGCCAGCCCACCAGGTACCTGAAGAGCCCTGCAAACTGGATCACACTGACCCGATGTACACAGGAAATCCTACCTTCCAGGACTGGGTTGGACTGTAAAAGCTGTTCTTTGACTTGGTTCACTTCTGCTCCTTTTCCACAAACGGCCGCTACATACGACATGACAAGCTTGCTGGCCTCTGTGGATGAAAACAAATCCTATCAATAAATTAAGCAGAAATCTGGAAACAAATTTTAGAGGAAGGAAATAGGGTGTAGAAGATCCATTAATGTTTTCAAATGCCTTTATACCTGGGACTAAATAATGTTTTGGATATCTTTTAAAATTTGTGTGCTTTCCACCAGTCAGAATGGCTAAAATTAACAACACGGGGAACAACAGTGTTGGCGAGGATGCAGAGAAAGGGGAACCCTCCTACACTGTTGCTGGGAATGCAAACTGGTGTAGCCATTCTGGAAAACAGTACGGAGTTTCCTCAAAAAGTTAGAAATAGAACTACCTTACGATCCAGCAATTGCACTACTAGGTATTTCCCAAAGGATACAGAAATACTGAATTGAAGGGGCACCTGCACCTCGATGTTTACAGCAGCATTATCAACAATAGCCAAACTATGGAAAGAGCCCAAGTGTCCACTGACAGATGAATGGATAAAGAAGATATGGTGAATATATCCAATGGAATATTACTCAGCCATCAAAACGAATCAAGTCTATCCATTTTGCAATGATGTGGCTGGAGTTAGAGAGTATTATGCTGAGTGAAATACGTCAGTCAGGGAAAGACAAATACTGTATGATTTTACTTGTATGTGGAATCTAAGAAACAAAACAAATGATCAGAGAAGGGAAAAATAGAGAGGCAAACCAAGAAACAGACTCTTTTTTTAAGATTTTATTTATTTATTTGACAGACAGTGAGAGAGGGAACACAAGCAGGGGGAGTGGGAGAGGGAGAAGTAGGCTTCTCCACTGAGCAGGGAGCCCAATGCGGGGCTCGATCCCAGGATCCTGGGACCATGACCTGAGCTGAAGGCAGACGCTTAATGACTGAGCCACCCAGGCACCCCAGACTCTTTAACTATAGAGAACAAACTGATGGTCACCAGAGGGCATGGGGGTTGGGGGATGGGTTAAATGGGTGATAGGGATTAAGGAGTGGTTATGATGAGCATCGGGTATTGTATCTAAGTGCTGAATCACTAAATTATATACCTAAAACTAATATTATACTGTGTGTTAACTGGAATTTAAATAAAAGCAAAAAAATTAAAAATTAAAAAAAAATTTGTGCTTTCTTTTCAATGACGTCCTTACTTCAGATATAATAGGAATTGTGCTTGAAGATTATCACCAGTATGAAAAAAAATTTGCTGAGTAATAGAGCCAACAACATGTCAGAAGAACTATCTTAAAGCAATCATTCACACATAATTACAATATTATACACAGATAATTCAAGGCAAAAATAACCTGGTAACCTGGGTAGCTTTACAAAGTATTTTTATTTATTTATTTATTTATTTATTTATTTTTTTTTTTGCTTTAAATATTTTTGGGGGGGAAAGGACACCACACTTCTACTCAATTGAGAGAAACATTTTTACAGTCTTGAGGTCTTTTGTTTTCTTTACATTTATCATGCCATGAATTCATAGGGAATGGGTTCCAGCAGTTCGGGCTCCTTTCCATTGGTTCTCACAAAGTGTGCTTCTCTGGGTGGGGCAGGCTGGCGCTTCAGCTGAACCCAAGTACCTTTCTCTTTGGCTTCCTTCTTTTTCTGATCATTTTCCTTCACACGCTTCAGGAAGCTGTCTCGGCTCTTTGAGTGTTTAATATGCTCAATGCGTACATTAATTCTCTTGGCAAGAATCTTGCCCTTAACTTGTTTGTTTACAAAAATGCCATCAGCATGCTGGGTGACCCTGTAGACTCTTCCAGTTTTGCCATGGTAAGATTTGTGGGGCATTCCTTTTGGAACAGAGCCCATTCCCTTGATGTCCACAATATCACCTTTTTTATAGATTCGCATGTATGTGGCCAAAGGAACAACTCCATGTTTTCTAAAAGGTCTAGAGAACATATAGCGGGTACCTCTCCTCTTTCCCTTTGTGTTGGTCATTTTGGCGAATTACTGGAAGATGGCGGTTCCGGCCGAAAGGCTACAAAAGTATTTTTAAAGTTTAAAAGAACTGTCCTCCTCAAAAATAGTTTCTAAATCAAACTAGTTTGCTCACAACTAGACTAAATTAGTTACTCTTCAACTCAATTAAAAAACTAAGCCACTAATGTAAGGATTTGGTAACAAGAAAGCTAGCTTTTATTGGGCACAGTTGTTTTCAAAGGTTTCACCAGGAACTCTGAAAGGTAAGCTGCTAAAAGAAGCTGGCCACCCTGAAGCATACAAAGAATTCTTAGCTCAAAGGTGGGCAAGATTTGTTTTTGGTGGTTTTATCTTTTGGTGTCTATCAGCCTGTGTCCTCTCTCAGCATCTGCTTCTTAGGACCTGATCTTTTGAATAGTGCCTTCCAAGGAATATTAATAGATATTCAGGGAAAATGATGTCCGAAGTTAAATGAATTAGATGAAATGAAATAGGTTTCTTTTTAAAGGGTTTCCTGGAGGATCACATGCATGGTGGAATTCTGGAAAAGGCTCGAGAATGCTACACTTCCCAGACTGGTTTGCCATGGAATCTGCTTCTCACTGAGCTGTCCTCATTCTGATTTTCCATAACCAGGGAAGGGCTCAACTATTAACTGTCAGCAGAATTCAACACACACCTTCATTTGGGCGGCCGAGGTAAGGAGACTCATCAGAAGTCTTGCTTTCTCTGAAGTCTGCGCACGAGTGCCACCATCTGAGAGCAGGAAGGCTTCCTCAGATCTGAGTGATGATACCTCTGCCCACAGGCATAAGGGGGCAGATCTCAACACTGCCATTTCTCATACAGAGACCGACAGGTGGCTTCCAGTCCCACTGCCCACCACGAAGAAGCAATAAATGAACAACCGGAATTCACCTTGGGCACACTGCCTGGCACTTGCTTTAGGACTTTAGAACAACCCCAAAGCATTGACTAACAAGCCACTGAGCACCAAGAATCTATATCAGGTCACACAAAGTTCTCTAGGCCTGAGGCAGGAGCAAATAGGGTAGAGGGAAAGCAAACAATCTCATGGAACCCTGAGAAATGAGGTGGGAGACTGGGTATTTCTGCCATGCTTGCAGTTAAGTCTTCCTTCAACGTGCTTTCTGGGTAATGAAAATGGGTCCACACAGGTTCTCTGGTGGTCTGTGATGGCTGATTTCTATTGTCTCCTTTTAGGGGCTGCAACTGAGAAATGCCAATCTCTTCATCTCTGTGATTCTCTTCCTCCAAAGGGCACTGTTCCTTCACACACCTTCCACTGTGTAAAGTTTCTGAACTACATTTCCCACTGTTCTCAGGGTTTCAGCATCTAAAAGCTGGTGAATTATATATGGACAAAGAGTTTATATGCTATCACATGTCATTTGACTTCCTGGTGCCACAATTCCCTCTACCCATCGGTCCGAGCTGGAACTCTTCTTCTGGTCACTTCAGGATACTTTCTTTCTAGGCTCTATGGCTTTCAAGTTCAGGAGAGGCTGCCCTCCCAGGAAATTCCTGACATCCTGTGCTGTCTGGTCTCCAATGCTGGGCCACCTCTCCTCAGTTACCCACACATCCCAACTCAGCAGTCTGGCCTTTGAAGCAACTCACCTCCAGGCCTGCTTTCTCATCATTCCACTTTCTCATTGGTACCTCCGCTCCCCATCCTCGCCTCTACCCTCACATATGTTATTATATCCCTAACAAGAATTTCTGGCCTTTCTACCCATTACACTATGGCAAGACTGAAAGCATTTAGAGGCACAATAACGGTCTCAGATTGTGGCAAATACACACACACACACACATATACTTTAGATGAAAAGGTAAGTTTCCTTTTAGGTAAACTGACAATAAATATTAAAAGTCCAGGTCAGGCTGTTTTGCTTATTCCAGTGATTATGGACCTCACTGTAGCCAAACATCAAGTTTAGCTACACGACCACACCGAGTTCTCTGGAAATCCAGTTCTGGACCAGGATGGACTCTTAGGGACAAAATGCTGGGGTGGGGGTGGGACACAGGAATCAACCAAGAATCAAAATTCTCTGGCGGCTGTTGATTTGGTCTCAGAGACTTTTTAATGGCCAGTATGAAAAGAATCAAGTTTTCTCAGGGTCAAATCTGTTTAAAAATGGTACAAGGAGCAGATCTTTTGGAATCTGGATTGAACTTACATCTGGTTGTTAAACTGTGTATAAACCCACAATATCTATTGAGATAGAAAGAGGACTTAATTGAAATTAGGAATGACTTTTATTAACCTTAAAATCTATTTAAGTAATTCAAATATAATTTTTAAATTAGTTCAAGGATACTTATTCCTAAATTGTTAAAAAGTTTGTATATTCAATTCTTCACTATCTTCAGGAAATCTAATCCTGGATTCATTTTGATAATTCATTTTTGGAAGCCGGGATTAAGAGTAGTTTTCTTTAAACAGTCTCATTATCTAAAAGAGACAACTCTTATAATATTTTTTCTTGACATAATACTTGATCTTTAACTTAAGCAGCTCATGAGATACTCACTACTTCAGAGAAATAAATAGAACAGTAAGGATATGTTGCAAGGTCCAACATAGTTTAGAAGACTGTTCTTGTAATATTTCACCATGCTGGAAACAGGAAATAAGATTATCTCATGAAGCTTTCTGCTTCATTTCCTTTTGGCCCTTCTGTACTAAAGTTCAAATAAATTTGTATCTTTATTCAAGTACTTAGATATTTATCCAAATCAAAGCTTCATGTAATAACCTCTATGAATGAAATATATTTCTAAGAATCAAGAATTATCATCTTCCATATCTCAAAGTCCAGTTTTTGGATTATGTAGATTGTTACAGAAACCAACTAAACATGACCTTGGCAATCACGGTATACAATTATAAGCATTTTCCAAAACAACACTCTTGAACAGACCGTGGATACTTTAATCCAGTAATCATACTCTTCAATGACAATGTCTTTCATGTACATTGTAAAAACAGAAAATGATTCTACTTGAGACAAAAAAGTATACTCTTCATGTATACACAAAACTCTGAAAAGCACAACTATTTTAGACCTAAAAACACTGGCATTTAAAACTGGCAAAACATAACAGCATTTGTTTAGAATCAATTCTTAGTTCATCGTTTTCTCTCACTCGTAGATACTTCACATATGTAAATTTATGTACATATATATGTTTGAATGTGACTTGAATCCTAAAATTCATCAACAGTCAGACAAACATAATATTAAGTCTTCGAAGTAAAGTCTCTTCTCACCAGAAAATGGTAGGACATCTAGGGTTGAACAGATATTCTGCACTAATGGGCAAATGGCCTGTCACAAAATACTTCTAAATCTGAATATCTGGATCAGATTCATATCAACGAAAGGGGTTACAGAAGATAGAGATTCTGGGCATTTTAAATTCCTGATAAGGAAAAAATGAGAATTTAACTCTGTATTCTCTGGTACCTTGTAAAAGACTGTGAACAATATGTATCATCTGTTATTATGCAATTATTACATAATCATATAATTACGTAATAACTTTTTTTATGAAAGAAAGCACGGCAAAGTAGTAGTAGGTGGATGAGAAAGGAAAAACATTTCAGTGAAAGACATTTGCGCTCATGAGGACAGCAGGATGGGAATCTTGCTGCTAAAACTGCAAAACCTGTGCATGTTAACTGAGCAGGCTCCCATGGATTCAATCATGGTATCAGGAACAAAAAAAAACCAAAAACGTATGGGTACAAGCAAGGCTTATTCGAGTTTTCTTCACAGAACTTCCCGTAATTTATCCAGGAGTTAATAGGTATCCATGTATGCATTCATAGTACATGCAACACCATGCATGTCACGTATAGATCACATAACACACATATATGTCATAAAGCAAACAGAGCCACACATTTCCACACACACATATACTGATATATTTATCTGCTTCTATACTTCTCTAACCCCTTGGTTAAAATATCCAAGTTTTTCCGGGCACCTGGGTGGCTCAGTTTGGTTAAGCGTCTGCCTTCGGCTCAGGTCATGATCCCAGGGTCCTGGGATCGAGTCCCGCATCGGGCTCCCTGCTCAGCGGGGAGTCTGCTTCTTCCCTCTCCCTCTGTCCCTCCCTGTGCTTGTGCTCCTCCCCCCCAAATAAATACATAAAATCTAAAAAAAGAAAAAAGATCCAAGTTTTTCTAGAGACTGAGCTTACATAGGTCTCACGGTCCAGTGACCTAAAGAGTAAGACTACCTCAATCAGTGAGGCCACCTCTGTGTACAATGAAAGAGAGATTCTGCAACCCAGAGGCACACCCTTCTTAGCAGCCACGAGCCTGCAAGGCTGTACAGCAAGCCAGCTGCAGCCTATCCAAACTAACCAGACAGGTGACCTCAAACCGTTCCAGTTGTGGTACAAAGAGCCTGGGTCTCGCGATGAGCAATACGGCTTTTCCTCTAAGAGGAGTCATGACGGGCAGTGTTTTCACTGAAATACAACGCTATATACAAGTTGCTCTGCTTCCGAAAGTTTGGCCACGAGATCTCTGATAATGAATATAAAACATGTGGATCAAGAGAGGCCTTTCTCACACGGGGAAGAAACAAAACAAAAGCTCACTATATTTGGGGCTTCAGTCTGCTTAGCTGTTCTGCCTCCCTGGGACACCTCCGTAAGGAGATGTAAAGTCGTACAAGGTCAGTTGGGGTTCAGAACCAAAAGTCTTAATGAGCAGGGCAGGCTTCATAACTCTCCTAGCTGATGGTTGGAGAGTTCCTAGAAACTGATGTAACTGTAAAATTAGAAACCAAATGATTTATGCTGTTTTCTTATGTCAGGATCATCTTCTTAGGCCCACAGATTTATTGTAATGTCTTTGAAACAATGTAGTTATGATGGTTCCTTCACGTTCTACGTCCCCTGCCCCCATCAGCTCTTGAATGATTCTCCACAAACTATCTGTATTCACAGTAGTGAATTCTGAGTTCACTGCCTAGAAATACTTGGGCACTTTTATGAGGCATGATGAATTTTTTATTTAGCACAGCAGTAATGAATTAAATAGGACCCCAAAGGACTCAAAGAGTTCATGCCTCTCCCTGAATGCCCATATTATATAACCGTGCAGCATAAGAATATCTCCACTGCTTAAGGCCAATAACATCATCATCCGCCAAGGGGGTTTACAACCTCATTAAATTAATTACTTCTTGTAAAATAAGCCCTCTAATACTGCAGGGTAGTCCTGTATAAGCTATCAAGTAAAGATTCTTACCAAAAAGACATACTGTGCATAAACTCTACAGCGCATTCTAGGCCCTCCATAAATGTTAGTTCTCTTCTTCTTTCATTTAATTACCAACAAAATCTTTAATAACGATGTGTACTCAAAAACAATTTCAGTGGTCAAGACAATGGGGCATTTCAAAAGTGCCCTGGCATCCCTCTTCCCCACAGAACTGACAAAACCCCATCTCCAAACTCCTCACACTACCATGCTACAATCTGTGTATTATTTTCCATCATTTCATTTTCCCGTAAGTAATCTCCATGAACCAGAGACATTAATCAACACATAAATTCTATGCTTTACTCAGATGGATAGTGTAATGACAACTAAAACCATAATAAATTTTGAGGCAATTTTTGTACCACTCCTTGCAAAGTGAAAGAAAAGTAGAAAAAGATGAATCAGTAAGTGAAGCACTAAATGTCCCTGGGGACAGAGATGTAGGAGATGCTGTTGGGATCTGTAAATGAAAAGGAAGAGCTTATTAGCAGCTACCAAAGAGTGTATTTGAGTGGATATTTTAAAACAGCAGCTCTCACTCAGGACTAGGGTCCACCTCCCAGCACTAGGAGGTTTAATGACAATGGACAGCTGAAGATCACAAGATCCAGGAATCACAGTAGCTCAAAAATAAGACAAATGCATCAAATGACCTCTAGGCAGTGCTATTCAAAGTATGATCCAAAAACCATCACTATTCAAAGTTGGTAGGTCCATGGACTATTCCCAGTCTACACATGAGAATAGGTTTTTATAAGTTTTTATAGCAATTTGGTCTTTTATTTTGTCTCTTTAAATGAAAAACAATTAGAGATTGGTTCTTCTATGTCTTCTTTTATTTCATTTTTCTGGTATCAGTCAGGAACAGGTTTGGGGAGGAGAGAGACCAGTGTTTCACGGTGGAAGGTTCGAGAAGCACTGCTTGAGAATGGCTATGGTACCCTCCTCCAGCTTCCCACCTGAAGCAGCACCTCACCTTGTGTGCTGTAAATAGAACAGCCCTACCAGAAGGAAAAAAGCAAAGGCCAAGAAGCAGCTGTCCGTTCTTATGACAGAGGGCAAAGGGATCCTAGGAAGGACAAAATCTGGGGAGGATGATAGGGAGAAAAGGATTCCAAGTGGTGAGTGGGATACTGAAACCCAAAGGACAAGTTATTACATAATAAAATATCAAGAGAAGAGAAAAACTACAGAACAGAAGAATGAACTCCAT